CAGCACCAGGTGTTAGCCATACTAATGGAAAGTTTGGAGAAGTAACCACTGGTGGTGGTGATATCAGCTCCCCAGTAGTAGTAAGGAGCATTACTATTAGTACTACTACTAGTATTAATAAAATTTGGGGGTCATTTTTTTGGTACTAAAACAAGCATGCAATGGAGGAGAGGGGGAATGTAACTGGGATGTTACGAAATGACACACTAGTACCAGATACTTTAAGCTACTGGTGGACTCATGTACGGTAAGAAGACTAAGTAGCAATACCAGTACAAAATGACACATGCCCACCATTACTACAGCAAATCAAAGCAATGTGAGTACTATTGCCTACCAGAAATCAACTTAAAAACTACTTTAAAGCTACTTAAAAGCTACTCTTAAGCTACTTTAGTAAAGTTACTCTTGAGCTACTTGTTCTTTAAAGTAGCTTTAAACAAGTACTAGTAGTAACTTTCCGGTTGGCCCTACCACGTAGTAGAAATTATACTTTACCCGTTGAATTCTAGTACATTAGAACACCAGCTACTTTAAAGCTATCAAAAAGCTACTTTATTTCTACTTTTTAATCGCCTACTATTAGTAGACTATTCTTTGCTTAGTCGGAGTAGTCTTGGGTACAGTAGCTTCAGGAGACGTGTAATGCGTCGTTTCGTAACGTCCCTGTAGAGGAATTAAAAAAATGATTGGACGAAACCGCTCTGTAATCTCTGTAATCTATCCAATCGTATTTCGTTATGGTACGTATGGTACGTACGGTACGTACTGTAAAATGGGAAATGGGAGTATTGAATCACCATACCGTAGTAGCACCTCTTTTGACTTCGTTTCTAAAATCAAATATTTTGCAAATCAAGATTCCTGATTCCTACATTTAGGTGAATAAGTGTCTGATGTTCTTCGACCATCTGCTAAAAATGCAAAAAGACGTATCCTAATTGGAGGATAATCAGAATTGGTATGTTCTACAAGATCATTCTCAACCATTCGTCCGATTTGATGAAGCGGATCATCGAGTCACGTAAGGTACGAGTATTCACCATGCACCAAACCTTTGTATTACTTCGTACTCATTTCCGGTACATGAAAGGAGTGAGCGAATGTGGCGCAATCAAAATCTTAAGTTTTTTCTTCACATTCATGGAGTCTCGTCAGCGGTCCTTGTTCCACGGGTATGAGCAGTACATGGTTTTTCGAGAAAGGGTTCCCAAGCAATACATAGACTCATTTACGGTATCTCCGTACCGTACATCGGATGTCGGTGGACAACTTCGACTTCGTCCTCTCATTGTCAACGTTTGCACTTGCTCTTTGCTTAAACGATCTCCAGAATAGGCGAAGTAGTTGCTATTTCCCGACACAAATCCAGACAATATTCTACCTCATTGTCAAACGAARCCCTGTCTTCATTTACGACAAAGTATTAAGTTTCCTGTTTTGTGGATTGCTTTCAATCCGTCGACAATTCATTCAGATTGCGCTTGCACGGGTATTCCAAGTCCATAAACAATCCATAAATGAAACCTACGGTCAAAACAGCAGTTGCCACCATGCAGCAAGTCGGAAGAAGGTTCTCTTCCGCTTGCTCGAGCAACAACAATAACATTGGTATTTGTCGAGTTGGGTCCTTCTGCTCAGTTCCTTCCTCCCCTTCTCAACAACTAAAAAAGCAGCAGACGTCCATGACAACAAGAACGAAGCTTGCTCGATTAACGCAACAAGTAGTAGCGACCGCTGCTACACAAACGCGATCGAAGAGCTCGATGGCTATGAATTACGATCAATCTGGAAATTTGGCAACGGCGACGACGGCGAATGCTACCTTTGATCAATCCGTTAGAGAACCCTTCCCATCAATCGTGCTAGGCCCAGAAAAATCTATCGAACCAAAAGGCCCCTTTGCAGAGGCGCAAGCTCAGGTAAGCCATATTTCCAGTGTTTACGAAAAGACGTTGAAATGCTGAATATAGGGTGCAAATGACTTATAGAGGACCTTTCGGTGATGTTATTTCACGAGGAGGCTTGTATGGGAAAGGTCGGAGATCTTTTGAACTATCGAGACCAATCATTTGATTTCAATTAGATTTTGTTTCTCACATAGCAAGATCCCTCTCCGTCTTGTCTCTATTCTGATCATCACTCCACTCTTCCGTGCCGAATCCTTTTAGTTTCTTGATCCTGATATGGACATGGTCGAGACTCTCAAAGAAGGGTTACTCAAGACTGATATGGGTATTGTAGCTCACTATTATATGGATGTTGAATTGCAAGGAATTTTGCAGTCTCTGAAGAATTCGCACCCTGATTTGAAGCACAGAATCGGAATTGCCGATTCTCTCAAAATGGGAGACCAAGCAGTAGACATGTGTCGTGACCACGGTGTAACGAGTGTCGTTTGCTTGGGTGTCGACTTCATGTCAGAATCGGTTCAAGCGATTTTAGGCAAAAATGGATTTGCAGACATCCCTGTCTACAGAGCAACAGCGAAACATATTGGGTGCTCGCTGGCAGAATCAGCCGAAACTGAGCAATACCGAGGTTGGTTACAAAAAGAATCTAAGAAGGCTTTGGATGAAGGTTGTGTTCCTTTGCATGTCATTTATATCAACACGAGTTTGGAGACGAAGGCTGTTAGCAGCTCAATCGTTCCAACTATTACTTGTACTTCGTCGAACGTAGTTCAAACCATGTTGCAAGCTGCATCGGAAATTCCCAATTTGAGGGTACTTTATGGCCCGGATACGTACATGGGACAAAATCTCGAGAGGCTGTTCGAAGTCATTGAAGAGTCAAGCGACTGGAGCGACGAGAGAATCAAATCGGAATTGCATCCCGGACACACAAATGCCAGTCTGAAATCTCTGAAGGATAATTTAAGGGTATTCCCGCAAGGAAATTGTGTTGTACATCACATGTTTGGAAACCAGGTCACAGAGACAGTTAGAACAACATACGAGAACGAGCCCGATACGTATATCACTGCTCATCTAGAAGTACCCGGTGAAATGTTTGAGATTGGAATGAGGAAGTCGCTAAACGACGAAGGTGTTGTAGGATCAACTGCAGATATATTGAATTTTATTAGCCGAAAGGTCCAAGATGCTGCGAATACAGCTACTTCTGATAAGGCTAAAGATAGAAAACTACGTTTTATCTTGGGTACAGAAGCTGGAATGGTCACATCAATCGTCGAAAAAGTACAGGAAATCTTGGGAGATGCTTCCTCGAATTCAGAAGGACGACGAGTCGAGGCAGAAATCATATTCCCTGTGAGTTCAGAAGCAGTTATGTCTGTTGAAGATTGCGAAACCAATTCCATCAACAGCTCGGAAAATGAACTTTCCATCGTTCCGGGTGTGGCTGGTGGAGAAGGATGTTCTACTGCTGGTGGTTGTGCGACATGCCCCTTCATGAAAATGAACGATGTTGATGCTTTGCAAGATATTATCAATTACGTCGATGAAAAGAGACAGGGCGACGAACGTTCACGAGGAATATTGAAGAAACACCTACCACCCGCGCGTCTACAAGGGAAATTCATAAATGGAATGGAAGCGACAGAACTGGGAACAGAGGCGATTCTTTTTATGAGAAAATTTATGCTGAATCAATCGATGCCAGAAGAATTAGTTACCAAAGTTACAAACTTTGAAGCAAGCAACTAAACGAACGAGAACCAGGAGTGAATAAACTCTGAGGAATGAATGACGGTAACAACCGTCAGATGCTATGCAAATGTTATTTTCACCATTACTTACACAACTAAAACCATAAAAAATACTGAAAATCGCGTCACCAAATTGCTACAAGAAATGCATGTGATCTAAACTCGTACGGTATGATGTGAAATTAGAGTAGTTCGGAACAAGGGTTGAAAAACTCGAGCATCGGATTGGAAGGCAAATGTATGGAACGAATCTGGAATCGGTTATCAGTAGAATAAAACGCCCCAGTTTTTTGCTGTAGCAGCAAGCGTTGCTTGCTTGTTACTGGTGACGAAAAACCAATCAGAACTAGAGAATCTGTTAGTCAGAAAGGGTTTTCTGGTTTTCTTCCTTCTTACTGCACATGTATATTGCTCTTTTTAACCTCTTCCGGCTTATTGCATACTCTGCACGAAAAATGTAAAAAACTCTCATTTAATCAACCTCATCATAGGGACCTGACTCACCCTCCAGACAGAGCTATAAGCAACACTTCCCATCAACACATTGGCAAGAATATCTTCATTACAATRGAGCCAGGGGATTCTGAAGTCTCAGATTGCTTAGCGCAGTACTTTAGAAGCAACAGTAGACCTAAGCAGTAGGAGCAAAAATGACAAAAAATTGAAAAAAGAACAACAAGCAACAAAAGCTGTAACAAGAAGCCCTCATTTCCCCAAATCAAACAAGTGCTGCATTGTATTCATTATCATTATCATCATCATCATCAACAACAACAACAACAGGGGAAGCAAGGCTACATGAATCCATGTCACGATCAGAATCAACCTCACTGATCATTGAGAGGATGTAGTTGATTGGTGCTGGTTCTAGTGCCAGGGCCAGTAGAAGGAAGAAAGAAACAATAGCAATAGCAATAGCAATAGCAATAGCAATAGCAATAGCAATAGCAATAGCAATAGCAATAGCAATAGCAATAGCAATAGCAATAGCAAGAGAACTAGAATTAGAACTAGTAGAATGAGAACTAGTAGAATGAGAACTATAATGAGAACTATAATGAGATCAAGAGCAACTAGAGGAACAAGAAGAAGAACAAAGGTACCGACAGAGAAAATTCCTGTTGGCACTCCAGTACTAGCAAATGGATTGCTGCATGTACGCATACAAGGTTGGCAGTGAAGGTTTTGGTCATGGCAAAGGATGAGGGTGAGGAATGATCTAGTATCAGCAGGAGAGCAATGTAATTTGCAAAATTCACTGCAGATGAATGCAAAAACAAAGCCCTGTAAAAAAGAGTTGTGAGATATAGGACAAGCTGGGGCTACAATCAGCTGCTGAAGTTCCCCTATCAGTACCAGCACCACAGCTGGCACCAGCAGCAGTGGTAAAGAAGATGTTGACTGCATGGACAATGAAGGTCTTTTGACTGAGGCCACTGTTGGCAATGGTTCACTTTCAGATGGTCCCCCAAAGAAGAAGAGGAGGAAGAAGAATAGGCCCCCTCAGACTGAAGAGTATTTGCATGCATTAAAGGTTGACAAGCATCATAACAGAAACAAGCTCAAAGATATGGCATAGCTTTCAGTAGCAAAGAAAATCAAGCAAGACTAGGCCCTTGGAAACATGACCAACAGAAGTGCCATGGTTGCCCAAGTTGACAACAAGCTTTACAATATTGAAGTGAGTGCAGAAACAATTTGACAGTGTTTGAATTCAGGCCTTGAGTACAACTTTACCAGCAGTTCTAGTAAATGTGATTGTTTTGTATGTTGCCCTTGGTTCTTCAGAGATGGAAGAACAGCCAAATCAAAAGGTGTTGACTGGGATTATAGCATCGTATCATAATGGTGGCCCAACTATTCTTAAAAATATGAAACACTTTCTGATTTTTCTCTACTAGTAATCTGCTTGCAACTGATGTTGCAATTGTAACTGCATGCTCTGAACTTAAAGACCAAAGAATATCATCTTATGCTGGTTCAATACACTGAAGAGTAGGCTAATATCTGGTGGGTGGGCAAGAGAGAAGAAGACTGATGATGATGGCAAGGTTGAAGGCAAACTTGTATTCTTTTATGGTCAACTAAATTGGATTCTTAACCTTGACAAAAGTGGATTAACCCTTGACAGTAATCATTCTTTGACAGGGGGTGTTCTTCTAAATAATTTTGCTTGTCAAATCCTGCCATTGCCTGTGGTGCAGACAGAACAAGAGCAGTGTACAAGTGACTTTTATTACTACTGGGAGTACCACTACAGGTTCTCTGCTCCCTCCTCATTTTCAACTTAACAAATCAAATGTAGAAGAAGAGGACAAAAATATCTAGGATGATTTTGCAAAAGATGTGCCAGAAATTAAAGGAGTATTTGGTAACAATTAGTCAATGGAGAACTGAATCACTGTGAACTACAATGCTACTAGAGGGACAGATGACAAGGAATTTGATCTTTTCATGATGGAATCTGTTGTAAAGCTGTATCCAAAACCAACAATCTGCCTTGCAAACAAGTTCTCATGATGGTGGACAGCAGACCTGTGCAAAAGTTTCTTGCATTGTTGGCAAACTTCAAAGCCAGAGGGTTATATTTGCATACCAGAGCCCCAAATACAACTCATGCAACCCAGCCAACTGACCAAAACTATTGATACCAAGGATCATTTCATTGCTGAAGAAGGAAGGAGAGACAAGAGCATATTAAAGGCCTGGAGGCATTGAAGAAGAAAGCCAAAGCAGTATCTGATTTCAATGCCAAGGCTAGCAGTTTGATTGAAGAAGAGTATGCCAAGAAGAAGGATGATGCCAAGTCCCTTCCAGTTTCTACACTGAAATTATTGTGCAAGTGGAATCAACAAAAGAAGATCCCTACACAGAAGCAAGAAGTGCTTGATCTTTGGTTACAAGTGAAGGATACTTCTTTTCCTCCAGAATTTGCTTGGAGTGATAAAGATGAGACCCATCTACTGGGAAGATGAGATTACAATTAGGGACACTGCATATGGAAGGGAGGGAGATAGGTTGAAGAACCAATCGCTGAATTTCTTTGCAAGCATGACTAAAGAAGAGGGGGATGCTTGCAATACGCTTGTTGAAGTGCTGGAGGGAGTGAAGGGACTGGTTGGTCAAGTTGCTGAAGTATCATAGTCCCCAGTAGATAGTAGTAGTTAGTAACAAGCGCCTTAGTGAGCACCCAGTAATAAGCATGTTTGGGGGTTATTGTAGAGAAATCTGTTTGTAGAACAATCAATTCTGATTTTGGTCTCATTAGCAGTACCCAGATATTGATTCTGTTTCACTGATTCAAATTCTCAAAAAGGCTCAGAAACACTCCAAAGTAGCAACATCATCAAGCGGAACAGTTTTCAAAAGACAACAGGTTGATGTTGGGGGGAAGATAAATAAGGGTTATTGTTCTCTTCATACATACAGTTTGTACTGGTTCCAGACCATCTTGCCCTCTTTGCCTTCAGACCTCATACTCATATTGTAAACTCATGTTCCAAAATGTTGCCACTTGCACATGGTGGCGGGCACCCAAAAAAGGAAGAAAATATGATTGGCTGATTAGACAGATCAAAATTATCAAAATTGGTACAGTCAACCATTTTTTAAGAAAATTGGATTTCAAGTGGGTAAAACTTGTATGTACCATTCTCAATAATTTTTAGTAGTATTGTCTAATCAGCCAATTAGTTTGCTTGATTCATGGAAGAATAGTAAGTGTATTATCCCTAACTCTAAATTAATGCTGAAAACCAAATAAGATTCCCTTTTTGTGTGACATGAACTTTTTCCAGTTGCGTGTTGCCAAATGTTGCCACTCACAAATGCGCACTCAAAAAAAGGGAAGAAAATATTTTTTTTGAAGTAGGATTTGTACTGGAGTCTACAAAGATTTAAGAAGTGAGTGGGTGATTCCTGTTATTATAAAATCTCTAAATTTGATAAACTGACAGACCACAAATTTAGAGCATGTGACTCTAGACTTAGTATATTTAGAACTGGTCAAAGCAGCCCTTCCTAAATACTCTAGATTTAGACTGGAACCCACAAATAACATTTTCCAGTCCATTGAAAGACTCAACMGGAAGCCCATGACTCCTCCCAAAAAAAATTAACACTCTGTTGTTCTAAATAACAATGAGGCACCTTTTCTCTTTAAACCATGGCGCCTCCTCTGTTGAAAATGGCACAAAGGCGCCTCTGTTKACCATCAAGCCATATAAATAATGTCCCAATAACTGGTCTTTTTAGTCACTACATTCTATTTCCTCTCTCTCTTGTATCCTCAAAGAGAGCAAGAGCAAGAGCAAGAGCAAGAGGAGGAGGAGGAGGAGGAGGAGGCCAGCGACTGCAAAGAGGCAGCTCATTGTCCAATCCCTCATATCATTTATGTTAAGATGGATCAAAATGGCAACAACCCTAAAAATGGCTGCAGTGTTGGTACTGTTAACTACTCTGAAGAAGAGCTAGAGAGCCTCATGGAGTTGATACTGGAGGTACTCCCCATTGATGCAGAGCAGTTGAATACTGTTGTCACCAAGCATGCTGCAAAGTATCCCTTTGACAGAAACAAGAAATCAATTAGGAACAAGTGCAGTTCCATGAAAAGAAGGAGAAGCTCTACCAGTAACCACCCCAATATGCCTAGGTATGTGAAGCTTGCAAGGTAGGCCCATTTCTTGATTGGTAAGAAAGCAAACATCAGTACCAGAGAGGAGGACTTTGATATGAAGAAAGTCTTTATCAAGAGTGAGGCTGTGGAGTTTTTGGAGACCTCCCCTGCTGAAAGTGGTGGAAGAGCACCCATTATCCTTGCTGGTGATGGAAGTGATGACTTGTCAACATTGGGGCCATTGGTTGTACAATCGCCGACTAATCTGAAGAAGAGACCATATGGAAAGAATTCCAGTCCAGATAGTGCTGCATTCAATGAGTATTTGAAGAGTCAGTAGGAGAGGGACAAAGAGAATCTTGAGATAGCTATGGAGCATTCTAAGATTGCTAAGGACAAGGCAAGTCGAATTGTTAAAGAGACTAATCAGATGTGGCAGGATGCTCTCAGAATGGCAATCACTTGCTTCCCGCAGTGGCAGAGCACCCAGCAGCAGAACAACAACAACAACCACTTACCAGTCAGTCAACAGCATCAAATGCCCCTGTAAGGGGGGGTGCATCATTTGTATATGATTGCTTTGTTGCAGTAGGTGACCATAGGAATTATACTTATTCCTGCTCAACCTTCTTGTATGGGTTTTTGTGCATACCTTGTATTGGTTTTCATGCATACCAATGTGGGATTAGAAACTGTTTTCTGCTAATTTAGCATGTGCAGATTCCCACAATATCAGTTTGTATTGGTAGTATGCACATGTAGTCTACATCGGAATGCACATGCCGCGTATCATAGACTTGTCTTCATTGCAGTATAAATGTGAACATGTATCCATTACAGTATRAATTGTTATATTCCATAGCATTGCTCTCTACCAGCCAACGCAGGACAAGGTACACACTAAAACTGGAAGGGGTGCACAAAAACTGATCCACCAGCAACACAGCTGGTACCAGCATCCATTATTCCAGTATCATACTGTGTAAATGCAAGCACTTCCAAGTGCACCTAAACAACCCTTTACGAAAGCAATGGCTGCTTCCCTTGACCATGGTGAGTGAATTGATTCATGGTGAGTAAATTGATTCTGTGAATTGATTGCTGTAATTGCTGGTGCAGTAGTGACTGAAGCAGTAGTAGCAAACATTGAACTGGGACATACATTTTGCTGACATTCAACCTTCTAATTAAACACCTCAATTTCCAAACAACCAAAACAACATATTGACCATGGGATTCACCCAAACACATTATTTCCATTAGGGGATATTCTGCATCCAACATAGAAGAAACCCCTTGAAAGATCATTCTTCTTGTAGGGTTCTTCCACTCCAGTTGCTGCTGGCGTCTTCATGAAGGACAATAGGATCTGGTTGTGTCCTATAGTGCTACATTAGTAGTTGCACAGGTTGACCAAAAAGTTCATGATGAACTTCCTGTCTCCAAGCTCCTCCAAGAACATCCTGTCTTTGATTCTTGGAAACAACTGTCCTTGAATCATCCTCAATCCTCACTCAGACATCTGCTGCCTTAAGAAGGATGTAGTGTCCCTATTGATAAGAAGGAGGTTGTCCTTCTCAGGGTCCTACTGCAAGCTCTTGACGAGGATATGCTCCTTCTTATCTTTCAATGCAGATGCTGAATCCATCCCAACCTTTGCATTGGACTGGTTGAGGACCTCCTCAATCCTGTCATAGGCGCCATTGTCAGCAATACTAGCACTATCATGTGATGCCAAGTGCCAGGACAGTTGAAGACTGAGATTCTAATTCTACCATCCAGGGCAAAGACAAACACAGTGTTGACAGCAAAGGTATTCTCCTTCTCGATCTTCAGATGCTTCAATAGCACTCTTGAGTTCATCCACAGCAGCCCAAACGTGTTGTTCTCCAAGGAGTGGATTCTTTTCTCCAATAGCATTAACATAAACATTGACTTCTACCTCAGTTGGGACACTGACCATGGCATCATCACTCTTCTGGAAAATTTGAGACACTTTTACATCACTGTGTATGTCAAGCCAAATGCCAATGTCATTGATCTGGCAACTGATCCTCTTGTTCTGTACCAGTACTATAAGAAGAACACCAGTCCAATGGCACAGACTGCATCAACCTCCCTCTTCTTCCCCTTGGGCTCGCCACTGGGGAAACAAGGAACTTCCACAATCTCATTGCTGTTGTTGACAGTAAACTTGTTGTATGCTGGAGCAAACACATCAACAAGCTCCCTGTCTGAAGACCTTGTGGTCTACACCACACCAGGAGCAATTGAGCATTGCTTTTTTGTCCCCTGAGTGGAAGAGATGGAGAAAGGCGGGAAAATTGTCATATCTCTGGATTGCAATCCATGGTGTTCTCCTATCCCTCCTTTGACACTCTTTTGGAGTGAGCTTGTTTTTCAAAGTTAATACAGTTGAATGTATCAGTACATCATCATCGTAATGGCCTTCATGACCACCACTACTCCCATTGTGACCTTCTTTCTTGCTACTAGGGGGGGGGAAGTCTGGTCTTTTAGTGCGGCTAGTAATTCTTTTTCATCGACTAGCTAGTGCAAAAAGAAACATATTTTGGATATTATGAGAGTATTGAAAAAATATGCTTGTTCCTTCTACTAGAGTATGGATCAAAAATTTAATGTTTTCCTTTGTACCAAGAAGTGGCGCGCGTGCCTCTTTCCTCTTTCTTCAGTCATTACGTTGCAATTGTTAAGATTCCAAATTGCGCTTGAGAGGGCGCGACTACATACTAGACCCCTGAGCGGTTTCAGCCCACGATTTTTCTACTGGAGAGCAAAATTCTGGCTGGTTTTTGATGGTCCCCACACAAACACTCACAAAATTGTTAGGGTCATTTTTACAGTTAAAAAAAATGTTTCAAATTATTTAATTTATTCTTGCTGGTCCCTAAATAGGAGCAGCACCAACAAAAACCCCTAACACGGCAGTTCGCAGTGCTCATTACTATAACATCCCCAGTAGTAAGTAGTAATAGAGGTTTTCCAGTAGTAAGCMMTAATAGTAATTCTCAAKTAGTAACCGATGAATTTACCTCTCCAGTAGTAAGGACCAMTAATAGAAATATTTAAGGACTCGGTAGTTTTTGTGTGTGGAGGGGGGGGGGAGAGGGGAAATGGAGATGGGAGAATAAAAAAAAATCGAATTTTTGTCGAACGAAACGTCTCCGGGGTCTATTTAGTCGTTCTGTCTGATTCACTTTTAAAATAAMGAAGAAAATTTAATCTCGGGAGGAGGCGGAGACGGGAAAAGTTAACACCTGTAAATATGGTAGTACGGTACTACAAGTAATGTGTCTTGGGCCTCAGGGTAAAAGACCGGAAGTAATCATTGAAATCAGTCACTTTGGTCATAGAGAACGTACTGGTTGAATCGATCTTACTAATGCCCAAAATTCAAAATCCGGTTCTCAGAATACGAGTACGGTGTCCAATGTTCCAAGCAATTGTAAAATAATCCATAAATACTGCAAAAGAGTCATCGACTTTGGGTCCAAAAGACAATCTTCACAGCAATCTTACTTCTAGTCTGTTACAGTAAAACTACGAGTACCGTACGTACCATACTGTATGCCTCACGATTAACGATATATGTACGGTAAGTACTGTATTACGATACTGTTAACAGATACGGTATGGTACCGTACTCAAGGGTACGTACTCGTACTCGTCCGATATTCTAACCACCTTCGTTCCCGTTGCTTGCATTCACGATGGTTCGCTCGCTTGCTATCATCTCTCGCCTAACACTTTTCGTAGCCTGAAGGAAATGAAAAGCAGCATTACTTCACCTGTCTAGTGAATCAAACATGAGGGCATCCATCGAAACATGCAAGAAGTACCTTTCTCTTATCATATTTCTCTACATAAAATGTTTTACTGTTGCCCAAGTTGAGGATACGCCAATCGTTGGTCTTTATCCGATGGATACACCTGTGTACAAGGAAAAGGATGCTGGTCTGATTCATGAATGGGTCGAAGGAAATGTTTCAGAATTTCATCCTTCGTCAAATACCTACTCGATTTTGTGGTCGGACATGACGACCGAAACCATCGGTGCCGAAACTTTAGCAGATTACGTCAACAACGAACTTCTTTTTGAAGAGAGTAAGCTTGTACAAGATGTGGAACAAGAAGTATTAATGCAAGAGCAATACGAAGAAGAAGAGCTCATCTCAGGCGTAGAAGACACTTACACAAGCGACATGGACGGTGACGAGGAAGACGAGGGAGACAATGCCAGCGACAGGGAGCCAGTGTATGCAATCGGAACTACTGTAGCTGTTACGACAGATGATGGGACCAAGCGGTATGGAACGATTGAATCTTATAGCGGAGGGTATTACACAGTCCAATGGGAAAGTGATGGAATAAGCGAGATCTTTGCCGTCGCTGACGGCGAAATAGATGACATGGTTGTCGAGACGGAGCTACCACTGGTGTCTATGGATGGGAATACGAGCAAATCTGGTCTGATTGCGGGCATCACAGGTGCGGTCGTTTTAGTGACTGTTGCTGTTGCTGCTGTTGCTATTGTTCATTTTCGCAAGAACCAAAGATTGGAAAATCAGTCTTTGTTGAAGCGCAATGACGATTCCAACATACTGGGTCGAACTAGATTGTCCCTCGAATTCGATGGAAATGGCAAGAACCTACTTGTTGGCCTCTAATTTTTGAGCAGCGGCGATTGCGATGAACACGTGACGCATTAATTGGTTCATCACATCTTTGGCACCAACGTATCATGCAGCGCGATACTGAAGTAATCATAGTGGAATCATAGTGGAAATACACTTAGTGAATGCCAAATCTAATTTCTTTCCCGAGTGAGACAATTAGAAACGTCTCATGCCGTATTAGTTAGGAAGGGGACGGGAAAGAGATGAAACGATAAGAGGCGATAATTGCAACATATCTGCGGAAAGAGAAAGAAATTATATGACCTTGTACACAAGCATGTATGTACTGTTCTTTATGTCCTGAATAGGTTGGATGCGTTGATAGTTTTCTTGGCGGGATCATTCGTCAGCCCTTCCCTGCAAGAACAGCAACACTATTCCGGCAACTGCAAACACGGCACCAATCGAAGCCCGAAAAGATGGGCATTCCTTGTGCATCATCAGGGTCAGAGGCAGCGAGTACAAGGGTCCTATGGATTCCAGCGTCAGCAACAACSCCAACGGGATCTGGAACATTGCGTAATTCGTCAGCGCGCTGTGTTTTGAAAAAGGGTCGTGGTGAGCTCGCGGCCGGACACGACAAACAGAGAACGGTGCGCGCGAGACCTTTCGAGAACAAAGACAACCACTCACGGGAAAAGAAAGGACACAAAGGCCACCCCGAGGGAAACCCGCACCCAAGAGTCCCGCGACAGCTCCGGCAGCTCGTACCAGCGCGCTCCTCGATCGGCCCGGGGGCGTGCCGGGGATCGGAGCGGCGCAACGGCCTTGGTCTCTGCCGGAACGGAGCCGTAGGCGGGTCCCGGGGGAGGCGCTGCCGGGTCCGACCGCAGGAATCCCCGGTGCCGCAGCRGGGGSCCCCGCGCCGCGCTCCGCACGAAGCGGTCCCGTAGCCCCAGCGAAACCGAGAGCGCAAGCATGCAGAGGCCCGAGAACCCGAACCGGACGAGGTTGATTTCCCACGTGGTCATCCCGGCGCCAAAGTTCTTGGTCAGCGAGGCACCCATGGTGTGTAGCACCACGTTGGACATCGCCACGAAGATCCCGTAGCGATGCGATGCCCGGGCGGCGGCCCTTCTCCCCCCGTCCTCGGTTGTTTGTGCCGYGGCATCCATCGGTCCCCCGTCTTCGGGGTCGTGTTCCCGCTCTTTTTCGGTTTCCATCTCGAATCCAACGAGGGCGACGCCGGCCACCGTRAGCACCAGGCCGATCGATGCCAGGATGGGATCGCGGAAGGTCTCGCCRAAGAACAACCACCCCGCGAAGGACGCCAGGAAGGGCTTGAGGGAATCCATGACGATGACCCTTCGCGCCCCCAGGTGTTTCAGGCCCTCGATCCAGGTCCAGTCTCCGATCAGGATTCCGACGGCAGAGGAGGCGTACAAGTACCAGAYGTCGTCGTTCCGGAAGGGGTCGATCTTCGCGCCGATGGCCTCGAGAACGCCACCCGCCAGCGTGCCGTTGCGGGGGTTTTGGGAGGAGAACAGCAGCGAAGGGTTTTTGTTTTCTTCCCCGGCACAATGGGTAGCCACGACCACGACCAGGAACCACGCGGCGGCGAGGTTGCACTTGAACATGTTCAGGGAAAAGGCGGACCCGTCTTTCTTCGTCCAGTGGTCGTCCCAGATCATGAACCCGAGGACCATCAGGAAGGGTGCAAACACGGCGGCGGAAACGCCCGAGCCGAAGCTGCCGGAACCGGGGGCCGCCATCGGTGCTGCGAGGCTGCGAACGGGATCGGCGTTTCTTGTCCGGAGCGGAGCGAAGCGAAGCGCGTCTCACCGATGCGTTTGGTTTCGGACACCAAAAATTCCCGTTTGGGGTGCGTGTTCTGTTCGGGGTGGGATGTTTTTCGTTTGTGGCGTTTGCAAGGGACCTTCCGTGCTACGGTACAGTATTACTTCCTAGTGCACTACTTCGTGCGTACGAATACGTACTCGTACGTACTTGTCCTACGAAAAACCTCGATCATACGTACGCTACGATGTTCTTAGAAGTACAGTACGGTACTGTAAATGCAATCCAGTTCTGGCGCGAACGAAAAAAAGAGCAAGTACAATAGCGGCGCCGGTTCTCACAAAACGCGGTAACAGTTCCGGTGTCCCGTTCACACCGCAGGATGCAAAAGCATGCGATGCGATKCGATTCGATTCGATCAAAGTGCTTGGCATCCGATCCGTATCGAAGAGTTTCGTCGAAACGGTCAGACACGGCAATCGGAGCAAAACAACCGCCGTGGCTTCTTGTTGGCACCAAGGAAACTGCGGCACGSACTACGAGTACCAGGTACTGTACAACACAAACAACTACCAGCACTACCGCATGCATGCAAAACATTTCCGTTCCTTTTTTTCAAATCTTTCGTTAGTATTCGAGTTACAAAATAGTCCATCCATTCCCCGTCATAATTTCATTATCCGCAGAGAGAAGAAGAAGAAGAAAATGCCGCGAACGAACGAACGAACGAACGAACGAACGAACGAACGAACGAACGAACGAACGAACGAACGAACGAACGCATGCTTCTTCTTCTTGTTACAGTCACGCACGCAAGAGCGATGGCCAATCGTGCCGATCCACTTGCTACACACCCACAAACACACTCACTCACTCAATCAATCACTCATACACAACACACGGCTTCACGAATACGGTACATCCCGCGCACTTCCACCCACAAAAGTCCTCGCTAGCTCGATTTGCTTTGCTTTGCTTGGCCCGGATCGCCTCACGCCCTGTGGTCCGGCCGCACCTCGATCGGGCGGCCGTCGAGCTCGGTCCCGGCCAGCGTCGCGATGGCGTTCTGGGCGTCCTCGGGGCTGGCAAACCTTACGATCCCAAAGCCCTTGGAGCGGCCGCTGTCCGAGGCCTTGACGTCGGCCCGGACGACCTCCCCGGCCTGCAGAAAGTGCTCCTTGAGCTCCCTCCAGGTCGTGTCGTAGGACAGGTTTCCCACGTAGAGCTGGGTGACGACCCCCGGGGGAGCCCGCGGTTCGTCGGAACCGCTCCTGGGTCCCCGTGCCGGGCGGGGCCCCCTGCCGGCGATCTTGTCCTCCCTTAGGCGCACGGGACGGCCCTTGAGGTCGGATTCCTGGAGCTCCCGGATGGCCCTGGCGGCGTCCCTCGCGGACTGGTAGACGACGATGCCGCAGCCGATGCTGGTGGATCCGTCGCTCCCGGTGAGTATCGTCGCCTGGTCGACGTTTCCGGCCCTCCGCATGTGGTCCTTGAGGTCCTGCCAGCTGACGTCGTAGGAGAGGTTCCAGACGTAGACCGACTTGTTGCTGGACTGGTGGAAGGCACCGGGTCCGTTCCTCTTTGGCCTCTGGCCCCCCTTGGCCTCGCTGCCGCTTCCCTCGCGGTCCTCTCGGACAAAGATCGTTCGTCCCAGCAGCTCCGAGTGCGTCAGGGTCGCGATCGCGTTCCGGGCGCCCTCCTCGGTCTCGAACTCGACGATCCCGCAGCCCTTGGAGCGGCCGTTGTGCTCGCAGATCACGTCCGCCCGCACGACCTCGCCCGCTTGCTTCATGTGGTCCTTCAGGTCGGCCCAGGCGACGTCCCAGCTCAGGTTTCCGACGTAGACCCGTCGCGACTGGGAGCCGGGATCGGAGGAGACGCCTTGGTGGTTCCCGTGGTGGATCGCCGGGCCCCCGTACCGGCTGCGCGGGTTGCCGTAGCGCCCGCCCGCCCGGGAGGAGGAGTACGGGTAATTGTTGTGGCCCGTCTCCCTTCCGCTCGCCTGCTCCCGGTCCTCCCGCACAAAGATGCGCCGCCCCGAGAGCTCCGTGTCGTTCAGGGTGAGGACGGCCTCCGCGGCGCCCTCGGGGGTGGCAAACTCGACGATCCCGCAGCCCTTCGAGCGGCCGTCGCTCGTCTGCAGAACGTCCACCCTCACGACCTCGTGGTCCAGGGTCTTCATCAGGTCCTTCAGGTCCTGCCAGCTCACCTCCCACGCCAGGTTTCCGACGTACACGCGCCGCTTCTGGTCGCGGTCGGCCTCTTCGCTGCTGTTGCCTCCCGCCGCTGCCTCGTCTCCTTCGTCCCCGGCGTGTGAAAGGTTCCCACCGGTCCCTTCCTCCACGGCGGCGCCCTTGCCCGCAACAGTGTCTTCCGATCCTTGCTCCTCTCGCATTGCCTTTGCTTCCTCGTCCTGAAAAAGGGACGCACGAGAACCACGAGTGCGGTGCGGTGCAATGCGGTGCAACGAGACGGATCGTGAGAGCCGGAAAAAAAAACCGGGCTCGTCTCGTTCGAGCGCGGACCCTCGCGAGGCCCCGAGACACAATCTTAATGCACCAAACCAAACGCAAACGCAAACGCAAACGCAAACGCAAACCCAACACAAAGCAAACCTAAACAACCGCCGCAGGAACGTACCATAGACGCCATCGTGTCCCGATCGTTCGCTCTCCTTGTTCCGCTCGCAACACACCCGGTTGCGCTTGTCTCCTTTCTGCCGTGCTACACTTCGTACTACGGTGTGTACGGTACGATGCGATGCGATGCGATGCGATGCGATGCTTCTTTTCGGTGTAACGTTTAACGTTGCAGGCCGGAACAGCGTCCGCGGCATTGCCAATCTTGCAATGCTGCTTCCGGCGAGGAGAAGACGTTCCGCAGCGGTACGGGACGGTACGTACGTTGCGTACYGTTGCGTATGCTACCGTACAAGCGGTACGGGGGATGGAGAAAGCCCCATCGCATCGCACCCCAGCCATCCGAAAACACCACGGCCCCTTTCGATTCACAACGGCCGTGCTTGCGGTACGTACCCTGCGTACTGTGGCGTACGATACGATACGATACGATACGATACGATAGTGCCGGGATGGATTGATTGATTCGATGCCTTCCTTCGTTCGATCTTTTCCAACGGAGACGAGACGGCACGCCGTACGGTACGGTACGGCACCAAACTTACGGAACAGAAAGCCAGCCGATGCGCGTCTCCGAGTTTGAACGCGAACGAAAGCTCCCGCGGGCTACGATACGTACCGTACCGTACGTACGTACGTATGTACGTACTTTTGCATGTTGTGATTCCTCGCACGCAAGGTGCCTAGCAGTGCCTAGCACGAGCACGAAGAAGAACCGTTCGGTAGGCATGAAGGTTCTTGATGAGAGATACCACCAGCTGCCTGAAGCTAGTAGGTAGTAGACGAGGAGTCTGCAGGAGCAGGGAGGAGAGAGGAGAAGCTGAAGCAGCTGCAGCAACAACAACTAGTGCTACTGGTACCTAGTAGCAGTATTAGTACTAGTATCACTACTAGTGCTAGCTACTAGCTAGTACTGTTCGTCTGCTGCAAGAAGTACTAGTACTACTGTATTCCACAAGATTCGTGACGCAGATCTTTACTAGCTAGTACTGGTAACTCATATTATTGCTTTTAGTATTCCAGTTCTAGATCAACAAGAAGACCGACAAAAAGATTAATAGAGTTGCTAGTAGAACTGCTAGTGGTTGCTGCTCGTGMTCCGAACTTGGTGGATCCATCCTTCCTCATTCTGATTTTCTTGTACAGCAGTACTATTATCAATAATGCTGCTGCTTTTCGTCCAACTAGCTAGAGCTGGCCTCCCAAACGCACTGGCCCAATATCACAAAACAAAACGTTACGTGACATCATAAAGTAGTACAGACACAATACAGTAACTGATTCTTAGTACAAAACCTTACACGTAACGAAATTCTTAGTATACATAGTGTGAACAAWCATCGCATTCAAACCAACGCCCCCATTCCCCCCCCCCCCCTAAACTTGCTGCTCTCGCTCTCGCTGCAATAAGAAATCAGTTTCCCCCCGATTGTCTCGTGTTGGCTCTCGTGCCGTAGATAGTTTTTGGAGTCACCCTTCCGAACAATGAATTGCAGTGTCCTCTCCCGTTGCCGTGCTGCAGCGCCGCGCACCTTTTTCCTAGCTGATGACGCAACAACGGGCGCACATGGATTCCGACTGCTCGTCGGCATTCACCTTCCGATCCTCCATGTCCATCTTCCTCAAGGTGAGTTCGTTCATTCTCATTTTTCTCTCTTGTTCTTCGAGTGTCTTGCCCAGTGCAAGCCGATCGTCGTACTCTTGTGCGGCCTCTTTGCTATCGAGGGGTGCCAGCTTTTCGCCCTTGCCCATTCCCTCCATCATTTTTCGGTACGCCATGACTTCTCTCCGGATCGGGGCCCTCGCCTCTTCTTCCTGCCGGCGCAACAGTATGTTCTCGCGAGTGTTGGCGGCCGCTTCCCTCTCTCGCCGTTCGACTTCCCTCCACTGGTTTTCCATTTGCTCCTGGCATTTCCGGATGATTTCTAGCTCCCGGGAGGGAACCTTCTTGTTCTTGTCGCTGGGGAACCTCGGAGTTTTTCTGGACCGGCCCGTCGTCGTTGTTGTTGTCGTCGTCGTCGTTGTCGTCTTTGTCGAGGATGATCCCATCGAGCGATCCGACGCGGGCGCGTGGGCACCTCGGTCGCCTCGTTTCGAATCCTCGTCGGAATCCTTGCTGCCGGTGGCCAGCGCACCTATGGTGCTTCCCACAAAACTAGTGAGTTTTTCGGTCCATCCCTCTCCGTCGCTGTCGTCGTCTTCCCCGATGACGTGCGGGGGCTCGTCGCTAAGTTTTACCGATCGTTCGCGGTTCGACTCCGATGCGTTTTGTATGGCATCGAAGAAATCAATGTCGTCGTCCTGCTGCATGGCCTTGACCCACGCCTGGTTGGCAGACGCCCTAGAATGCCTCGAGGTTGACCTGGATGTTTTCGCGGTCTTGAAGGAGAAGTGTGCCCAGTATTCTTCGTCATCGTCGCTGCACGCGGGTTCCGTAGAATCTACGTCTTCGATGCTGCTTTCTAGACCTGTAGCTTCCGAGTCGTTGTCGATCCGCCCTTTGTCGGGTTCGCTGTTTGCGCCCCGATTGCCCAATGGGTTTTGCGGCATCGTTTTGGCGGTGTCACCATCTATCTGGAAGAAGTTGTCGTCGTATTCCGAGTCGTCCTCATCACTGCTGTCGTCCTTTCCATTGTTCGATTCCCCACCCTTCGTTGAAGCGTCGACCGAATGTACTTCCTCCTGAGAATTCTTGTCTGAAATCACCGCTCTGTCGTCATTTGGTATTCCTTGACGACTTTTGGACGGCTGTTTCACTCGACTTCTTTGAGCGGAACGATTCGACGCATGGTCATAACCACCGTTGGCATCTCTCTGTTTAGCATTTTTCTCGTCTTCGCCAACGATATCTTTGGCACGCTTTAGAACCGAAGATTGGAGCGACAGAGGCACATCGAATTCCGCCGATTTGTCAACATTGTTACTGCTACAYACATGCTGCTTTTCGGCGCTTTTCGTTGGTACTCGTGGCTGAGGTGTTTGCTGCTGCTTCGTTTGATTTGTCTTGCTTTTGGAAGTTATCGAAAGGTTTTTGGTGTTGCGATTCTGCTGTGACGGCTTTTTCTCGTGGTATTTTTTGTTCTTTGACGTTATAGGATGAGTGTCCTCTCTTGGCTTTTTGTGCTTGAGGACCAAAACCCGTTTTCCTGTGTGTGACCGATTGTTTTCTTTGTGTTCGTCGTCTGTATGGGTAGTGGTGGTGTTTGCCGAGGTTTCATTGGTACTRTAAGAAGTTTCCCTCTCTGGGGTTTTCGTGCCTAGTGATTTTTCTTCTTCGCTTTCTTCGCTATCGCTGATGTACGAGTGTCGCTGCATCACCATTCGAATGGCCTCTTCTGATGTCAGCGCAGGTGCTTTATCGTCGTTCCTGTTTTCGGCAAAACCTTTCATACTAGGGTACACAGTACTGATGCCCATTGGTCTTTTATGCCTCGAATTATTGGGACTGGTTTGTGCTTCAGTTTTCTTCTTTTTCSCCGAGCTTTTCGAAAGCAGACTAGAAAACGTTTCCGGTGTTCCTTGGATGTGTTGTTGTACCTTGCCATTCTCTTGATGCATTCCCAGATCGAAGTCGTCGTCGTATTCATCGCTGTCGCTGTCATTRTTGTTATTGCCTAATCCATAACTGTAACTGTTGTTATCAGACGAATGGGAGTCGCTGTAGTCACTATCGTCGTCGTTGCGACTGTACCTTCGCACTCGTCGTCGAATCGAATTCTGCCTTCTTTTTKCCGCCTCCAAGTTCTTCCAAATGGTGGTGCCCGAATGACTGCGTTTTCCACCATCAACCACCATCATTTGGTCCCGAGAATGCTCCCACTGTGACTTCTGAGGAGAGTGCCGTTCTTCTATACCCTGACGCTGCTTCGGTTTCTTCGGTCTACGACCACCCCGAAGATTCTTCTTCGGTGTCCTAGGTTGTGGGGAAAACATATTTTCGTTCTTCGAATTGTAGACAATGAACAACCTGTCGTGTATGGAGTTGCTTTCTGGTTTTGTCAATAGTGATCTAGTTACCGTTGCTGTTGCTTTTGTTGATAGTATCAGTATTCTCTAGTTGTTACTGTATGTTTTATTATTACTGTAGGTGATTTCTCCGTCGCAGACTTTTTTCAGGTCGACGAGGATGGAACAGAGTTTGAAAGTGTACTGGTCGCGATTCAAAAAAATCACTTACAGTACGTACTGCGAAATGTCGTGATTTACTACGTGGTACAGTATTGCCTCACACTTACAGTACAGTACATTAGTACCGGTAGAACACCGTAAGAAAGCTGGAAATTTGAGGGTCACAATTTTTCAACGCTAAAATAAAGTCATCTATGCAATACAGTACTTGTGCTTACGTACCGTACATAACGCAGCATATGATAAATTCCATGCATGATCCATGGTCGGTCCTGGTCCGTACGAACTCTCGTTTCATACGGTAAAGTATGGTACTGTACAGTACCGCAAACAACGACAACTTTGCTTCAACTTTCGAGCCCTTTGTGACTGAACAATAGGAAGGCAATATTCCTAAATTTTATAATCTTCAATGTGAACCGACTGATGACCGACATAAGGAACTAGCAATGTACTAATTGTACTGGAGAATTTTCAACGCGACATCATCTTACTATTCGTAGTAATGGCGATGACTCCTTACCCACTGCCTTTACGAGTACTTCTACATAATACCGTTCGTAACACGGGACGAAAAAATACGAAATTACTGTATTGTTTGCAACCTATCGCACCTACCGTACCTACCGGTATGACCCCTGCGTATGGTACAGCACTGTACACCTACTTCTACAACACTAGGGCAGGGGTCTAAATTTATGACCCCTGCACTAGGGCAGGTGTCATAATCCCCTAACCTAGGGCYAGGGTACGTACTTCAAATTGAGAATTTGAAATTTGGGTTAGATACGACGAGACTGACTTACCGGTACAAGGAGTAAACTAATCTTAATCTGTAATTTGTACTACTAATTTTATGACATTATCACAGCGTGATAGTCACTCCGCMAATACGAAATCCGTAGCTTTATGGAGAAGCTGAAAGCTTGGAGAGATTGTCAAGGTCGAAATTATTGAAATCGTCAAATGTTGCCGAGTCGCCTTGGCTTCTGTCAAGTCGATCGAGCAGTCCATCCACCCAGTCGCTCATTTGTTCGAATGCTCGTTTCCCCGTTTTCCATGCCGATGTAATTTTTTCTTTCATGTCTCCTTCTGATCCAGTGTCACCACGTCCCTCGCTCTGGGGAGTGCTGTTGGACGCCTCCGCTGCACTAGAAGAGTTTATTGTTCCCTGTAGTTTTTGCAACGGTAGTTGAAATTGAGATATCCGTTCTTCGAGATTTCGTACTACTCCCTGCCAACCGATTCGGATCCATTGCGCAGCCCCACGAATCTTTTTCAGCAGTATGTGCTTTCCCTTGTCCATCAGAACGTCTTGAATGCTGGAACCGTATCCTACGTCAAGCTCATCGGGTGGGTCCACACCTTCAAAAAAATCATCGATGTCATCGAGACCTTCTACAAACTCAGCATTGACATCAACATTGTTACTGTTGTCATTGCTTTGATTAATTGTTCCATTCTTGATTTTCTCTTTTTGTTTTGTGTTGCCTTCGTTGTTGTTTTTGTTGCCTGAGTTGATATCGACACCGCCAGCAATCTTGTTTTCACCCAAAAGCCGTGAACGATAGTCCGCAAACTCTGAGTCCGCCTCTTCTCCTATCAATGGTTCGTCCAGCCGTTTTTCTGTGTCTATCGCACTATTTGCGTCGTACAAGGGATTCTTTTGCCAATTTTCTACAACCTGCTGGCTCTTGCTATCGCCATTACCTGGATTTCCTGCACCGTTTTTCGTGTTCTCAAAGACCAACCGCAATAATTCCATATCAGGAAGCCGGCGAGTCAGTCGATATTGTCCCCATGGTTCTCCACGATAACTATTCGCAGCGGTAGCAGAGGGAGCTTCGTCAGTAGTAGGATCGGATGTACCAGGACTGGAGGTTTCCTGGACTTTCTCGTTGCCTCCATTGTTGCTATCGTCATCGTCCTGTTTATCCTTGATAACCATATTACTGCTACTATCAGTACCACTTTCTTCGGTCTGATCTTCTTTAGTTTCCTCTGGAAGAGTGTTTTTTTTCGCCTCCGAGTCGGGGTCAACATCTAAATCGATAACAGAATCATCGCTGTCACTGCCACTCTCATATACAGGATAACCGGKTTCGGTGTTTTCTGACTCCTTTGGTTGTACCATCGGCGGCGTTTCATTACTATCCACAGTCTCTGTTTTTGTATCACTTTCCTCTTTGCCCTCTTCTTTTTGTTCCCTGTCTGGGGATTCGATTGGTTTGTCAACCCCTTCTTCATCTATCGTTGCCTTTTCCTGTAYTTTCTTCGTTTCAATTTTCTCTTCGCCTTCCTCCTTCTGGTCTCCCCCTTGTAATTCAACTGGCTTATCAGCCTCATCATCGTCCAATGTAGCATTTTCACTGACTTCATGGTCATCATCATCTTCAGCGCCTACATTTTTCATTGAAGAATCACCAGCGGAGCTAGCGTCTCCAGCAGATTCATCCGTAAACACCGGCGTACTGTCATCTCCTCCAATCTCCTTCTCTGTTTCGGGCTCTACTGCTTTCGATTTTCCTTCGAGAGAAACTTCTGCACTCTTTCCTTCCTCCTCCTCTTCATTTGCTGTCGCCTCTTTCTGTACTTCTTCCGGTTTCGATACAATCGGTTCCGAAGAGGAYGGAGAGGCCGAATCCGACTCGTCCTTCGTCTCTTTGTTTTCAACCTCCTGATTTTTGGCAGGGTCTCCCATTTCGGTCTTTTTCTGAACATCTGAAACAACTTCGCGTCTCTTCGAAGATGGTGGAGGATCCTCGACCGGCTTTATGTCGTCTTCTGCCGATTGGCCTCTGATGCTTCCTTCCATATTCTTTTTCTTTTCAACTTCTACATTCTTGGCTTTCGTTGTCTTTTCGAAGGAGCCAGCCTCATCTTCTGATTTTACATGTTGCTCTTCACTGTTTGTTGGAGATGGTTCTGGATTGGTCTCGGTATTGCTGTTGCTGGTACTCGAATCTCCATCGTGCACCGCATCGGGTTCGTTCGGGGAAATTGACGAGTGGACTTCTGCAGTCATGTCGTCATTTGGGGAGAGGTCAGACAGATTTGTCGCATCATCGTTGTTGCTTGCTTCTGTGCCCTGTACCCCTCCGGATTCGCCTAAATCGTGCGAGGATACGGGTGCGTTTATCTCTTGTTCTTCATCGGGCAGGATTCCACTGTCGTTTTCTTCCCCATCGACGGTAGCAGTTACCGATACAGCAATTGTATTTAACACAACCAAATGCGACGCTATGAACAGCAAAATGCAGATATTCGAGCGCCGCCGTTTCCGGTTCTTCCTTCCATTCTTCCGAGGATCCATACTACAGTACTACCCAAGATACGATGATCTAAACAATTTTGATTGGCTTTCCTCGTTCAATTCTCCAACTGTTTCTAGGTTGGTGAAGCTAGGTATCAAGAATGCGTTGAAACAGATTTGTGGGAGGAGCGTGCTTCTAAGAGTGACGAGAAGCACAAGAACGTAGTAGATTTTTTCTGATCTAGTGTCACGAATCACTGTTACCTTTCCGTCAGGTCATGTTGTCGTGCGTCCATTCTCGAAGTTGTTGGTTGGATTGGTTGGATTGGTTGGATTGGAGTTTGCTTGTTTTTTCGATGGTTGATTTTTGATTTGACGTCACCTACCGGTACATAATCCTTTTCGCCCGGCGTTCCACGCGTCCATGGTAACTCGTGATTCGATTCTTTACATTAAGTCGAACTAGTCAAATACAAGATACTTTGATCTGAAAAGAGAAAAAGACTATGGTAGCTTTTAGTAAGGCTGGTAAAGAGCAAATTTTTGGGCATCTACCGTACGKTGAGGCAGTTTRCCGGTACGGAAGGGAAGCTGGATGCAATTTGTACGATTCGAAACAACGTACCGTACGGTACAGCAACGTACTGTAGAGAAATACTGGCGAGTTAAAAACCATCAGGAACACCTCCTCGTTACAATTATTTTGAGAAATCGGAAGCAATCACCATGAGCGGAATCAACGAAACTTTGACTTTGAGAGGAACCCTTAAGGGACACGGAGACTGGGTTACTAGCCTTGCCACCACCCCCGAAGACCCCAACTTGTTGTTGAGTTCTTCTCGTGACAAGTCTGTTGTTGTCTGGCAACTCTTCAACGGATCCACCCCTACCACCGTCAACGTTGAGGACCACGAATATGGATTCGCCCGACGTGCCCTTCGTGGACACTCCCACTTCGTCTCTGATGTCGTCATCTCCTCCGATGGTGCCTTTGCTCTTTCCGCTTCTTGGGATAGTGAGCTGCGATTGTGGGACATTGCCACCGGAAAGACCACCCGTCGATTCGTTGGACACGAAAAGGATGTCCTCTCCGTAGCCTTCTCGGTTGACAACCGTCAGATTGTTTCTGGTAAGTACGAATTTCGATCATTACCAGATAGCTGTGAACTMCAATCTTCATGACTTCTACGATTGTTGTCGAATACACATTTGACTCCGCCAACTGCATTTTCATTCTATCTCACATATTATTTTCTGTTCTATCAAAACCTTCATCAATCAATAGGATCCCGTGACGGAACCATCCGTTTGTGGAACACCCTCGGAGAGTGCAAGTTCTCCATCAGCGGAAACGGCGAAGGTCAACAAGGCCAGGGCCACACTGAATGGGTCTCTTGCGTCCGATTCTCTCCTTCCCAATCCGTTCCTCTCATCGTCAGTTCCGGATGGGACAGACTTGTCAAGGTCTGGAACTTGAACAACTGCCAACTCCGAAACGACCTTTTCGGACACACCGGATACTTGAACACTGTCTGTGTCAGTCCCGATGGTTCTTTGGCCGCTTCCGGAGGAAAGGACGGAACTGCCATGCTCTGGGACCTCAACGAAGGCAAGAGACTTTACAGTTTGGATGCCGGTACCATCATCAACGGATTGGTCTTCAGCCCCAACCGATACTGGTTGTGCGCAGCAACCGAAGATTCCATCAAGATCTGGGATTTGGAATCCAAGGTTGTTGTCGACACTCTTCGACCTACCGAGATCGAAGGTGCCAAGATCCCTGCATGCACTTGCTTGGCATGGTCGGCCGATGGATCCACTCTCTTCGCTGGATACTCCGACAATGTTATCCGTGTCTACACTGTCACCCCTAGCTAAACTGTTTGATTATCAACGAGTAACGATAATTAATTGTTTTACCGGACTGATTCTTTCATCAAAATTTACGACGTCTCTAACCCTTCTAGAAGTTGATTTGCGTTCGAACACTATTTTGACAGAGTAGTGTGTACAAATATTTCGTTTTGTTCACTATTGATTATCTACATTAATTTGCCTTAAGGAGGTCTTTCGTAACTGCGAGAACCGTCTCATTCTCTGATACAAAACCTGTATTTTCTGGTGATGGTTCCAACTACACGAACGGTACACGCGTCGATCGGGTAAAAGCAAGGATATACGTTCCGCACGAAATAATTTTAGGACTTCAAGAAGGATCAGCCATGTGTCTCGCAGTTCCCCAGGTTCGGCTCATCCAAGTGTTCATATGTTGCCAAGTCAATCTTTCGAAGCTGAAGAAAGCCAGACGATGTTCCAATTCTACACTTTCTTTGGTCGATCCAGCTTCTTTAATCTCATTGGTGCCTCTGTTGGATTCTGATGTGTTCTTGGATGCCTCGCGCAGAATGTCATTCACAAAATAGCAGTAGAAGTCGTACGCGTTGCCAAGCAGTGTTCCATCCCGCACCACCATGGTATCAGCGTCTTCGTGGCATAAGTCGCGAATTGATGCTCGTTGTTCTTGCAAAACAGATTGAACATGAGCCTTGAAAGCTCGCTTTCTCGCTGGATGCATGGAAAAAAATTCGTCGAGGCGGTCCAGAGATTGCATTTCAGTGTGCAAAGCAAACTCTGGATGTCTGAAAAATCTACCGTTTGTAAAATCGCTGTACCATTGATAGATTGTCCCAGTCTTTGGGATCCACATATCTTCTATCTTGTTCGCTCCAATCCATTCTATTGCTCTTTTACGTCCCAGCGAGCAGGATTTCATTATAGCAGGTGGCATATTGCTAGACATGGTGTCCCCAACGACATCCAGAACCCCTAACACGAACAATGTTTTCAAAATGATTTTCGATTTTATTTCTTCAGCGGAYAAAAGATTGTATTTGTCTTTGCCTTCTATGATAGACTTCCAGTCCTTACCAGCGTTGTGCATTGCCTTCAGACAGATTTTCTTYATGTTTTTCATTGCGTCGACGGCTGATTCGCCTTCCAAAGGACGAAGAACTTTCCGAGCTGACGATTCGACGAAAGCATCCGAAAAGACGTATTCATTAGAAACTGCTTTTGCATGCTCATCAGTTTCAGAAGTAACAGTTTTAGAGTATCCATTGGGGTCGGATGAGTTTCGAAACTTCTTAAGCACCTCTTGGTCGTCATCGGTCCCATTATCATCTCCGTCGAAATGTTCTTCCGAATACGCTGGCTGYACCGATGAAGAATAGTTGTATAAAGATTAGCGTGAGATGTTTGGAAAACTTTTTTGCAGGTCATACATGTCTTACTTAAAGTAGGCTACTCACGCTAACAAGGCTAGGGCGCCCATCCCCACCAGTGCTAATAGATCTGTAGTCTGACGCAATTTCGTCCAAGGTCAAATTCGAAAAAWCTTCAACAAGCTTCATGGTGGTTAGGTGATCAATAACTTTGTCATGCTCAGTCACATCTTTGATCTTACCCATCGACTCAGAGGCGTCGATGCTTGTCACAGTGGTGGCACTAGCTTCATTGACAAAGACCTGGAGCTTTCTTTGGGTTCTGAGAGGTAGTATCGCTGGATTCAAGTTCCCATTGTCGTTCGCGGACAAAGTTGTGAGACCATTCGTTCGATCACCCAGCGCTGCACGGTGATTTGACGAACGACTGACGATACCTATGGTCATGATTCAAATTGTGCTCGTACGTATTTGTGGTTATGAGAAAACAAATGTGATGCAAGCGGCGATCAGAAGATTAGTCTTCGTTTGAATGCTTCGAAGTTGAATTTATGAAAGGAAACACCTAGAAATTAGAAAGTAGTTGTTTGAGTAGTGCATCGTGATCTCACGTTTCCAGGACCACAAATATACCGGTTTTATTTAGGTCACGCCTATCCCACCGTTGCATTGTCTTTTTAGCAAAATACATCGAAATAACGGGAAGCCATCTCGCTATCMTGTGATAAATATAGGGATAGTGAATATCATACTTTGTTGGCATAACGGTTTGTATTCTGGCAGTATGGGTTCYCTAGGCTGCACGTTGAGAATTMATATTCTCTTTTGTTGGCAGTTYTTTGGTGATCAACGTCAAATAGACCAGATTGTTGGCTTGAATCTCGTTCTGAACGGAGATGCGTTAAAACTTGAAATTTTCTTGTGATAATTTGGTCGAAGACCAAGTCCAGCAGACCCGGGACGTTCTGAAACAGCGAATTTCCACGTACGGTTAGCTACAGGACCACCGACTAGTTCGACTAGATTAGATTGTTGCTGCAATGAGCACATTACACATGTTCCGGTTGTACTGTTACCTGGTGCCAGCCGGTACTCTGATTATGACTTGGGGGATACGGGAAACTATTTATTCAAAATTCGCTTTTTTTGCTACCAGAATTCGACTTCAAATCGACTAGAAAAGGAATACAAATCAGATTTAAAGCTAATTGATATCTGATTTAATGTCGATTTTTGGTAGCCTTCCCAGATCCCCTACTATGTAGAATTAATACTGATGGAACGAGCTGGTAGTAGGGCTACCACATGTCGACTATGTTTCTACCAATTATCGACTATGTTTCTACCTCAAATCGACTACTATGTTTTTACTACCATATATCTACCAGAAGAAAGCCAGATAAATTAGCCTTAAATGAAAATTGTTTCCCAGGACCCCCTATTTCTTCAGTAGAGCCGTTGCCTACGGTACAAACACACGTGTGCCCAATGTAACCGGTGGTCAAAGTGGTCAAACTTGAGGTGGATCTAGTAGTAGCTAAGTGTATGTGGAAATTTGCTGTTTCAGAACGTCCCCGGAACGACTAAAATATTTCTGTCTTAGATTCTTTGTCTTCCTTACTACGAGTTTCATAACAATTGCACACGGTCTCGCCCAGAGAGCAAAAAGTAATAATTTGAAGTTCTAAACTTCGATTTGAAGTTATGAACTTTTGCTCRTACATCATGTACCAGGTTCTACTGAGCTAATGTTTTAAAATGACTGAATGGATGAATCACGATTCCCCTCAAAACAAAACAAAATGGTTCAGGGCGGTTAAAAATGGTTTGAGGTGATTCAATCATGAATCAATCATGAATGCCATCCAAAAACTAGCTCAGTAGAACCTGGTAGACTTTCTACGYGAAGTTCTTAACTTCAAATCGAAGTTTAGAACTTCAAATTATTACTTTTTGCTCTCTGGGCGAGAGCACTTGCGCACTGCGCAAGACGATGTGCAATTGTTATGAAACTCGTAGTAATGGAAACCCATACCGTACATCTCTATTTTGGGCAAAAGGCACACAATTTACCTAGTAGTATGAAGACAATTGGACTTTATGTGACAGGCCAGTTGAACAAAGCACCCACTCCGCCTATCATTCTTCATTTTGTTTCTAGCACTGAAAGAACTGCTGCCACCTCCTCATGATGGGTTGTGGAAGGGTGGAGAATGGCACATAATTATGCTGCTGGTTCACTCCCCTAACCAATCAGTACAAAAATGCAGATCAAAATGAGTGTATCATTAGGGTAGGCCCTCCTCCATTTCTTGTAATGGCGACAAGGTTTGATTTGGAGAGATGGATAAGCCTTGCAAGTCTACAATATTAGCAGTGCAACAATGCCAACAACATCCAAAAAAATCACAAGTTGTTGTTGCTGGTGGTGTTGGAACATTTTTAGAAAAGGCATTGCTGATGGTTTGCAAATAACATGAAGGTTATGATGGCAACTGGAAATCAAGAACACAAAAGAAAAAAGAAAATTCTCACTGAATTTATTCTTAATGGTACCAGCAGGAGTACTGCTACTAGTAGTAGTACTAGTAAATTTCCATCGTATGGAAGACTAAGTGCCAAAACTGGCCTCATTGAGATGTTGGGTTTCTCCCACGGCTCTAAGGACTCTACTTTTTCTTTCGCTTGGTGTTTATTTCCGTGACGCGGAAAAGATGCAAGAGCAAGATTTTTTGATCCATCACTCTCGTAATTTTGATACACAATACCGTAGAGACAGGAGAGCAAGCAAATACTTGAAAATAACTACTTGCACTTTCATGCTGAATGAATTATATCAGCTTATTATAGGGCAATCCTCATGCTATGAGTCTACTTCGTCGAGAAGGTTTGGCGCCAACACATAAAATCCATTTCTAAAATATTTTTTCTGGAAAAAATGTAAAATATTTTATTGCTTATTCCATGGGAAGACAAGAAAGATCCCAATTATCCATTCGTGATTTCTTTCTTGGCGTAGTCACCCTTATTTATGCATGCAACCTTGCGCAGAATGTAATCGTCCAAAACCGATTCAGAAGCACGGTTTCAGACCCGACTTCTTACTTAATTAGAGGCTTCTTCCTTGGCGGCTTCGGCTTCTCTCATTTTCTCGGCAACGCAAAAGGCCAGTTCCAGGCTTTGCATGGCGTTTAATCGTGGATCACAGTGGGTTTCGTACTTCGAGGCCAGTCCTCGTTCCCCGTCCATGGTAACTCCGTTCGTGTCCCCACCCAGGCATTCCGTGACGTCCTTTCCGGTCATTTCGAGGTGGATGCCACCGGGGTGGCTTCCACATTCGCGATGGACATCGAAAAAGGCGACAACTTCCTCGCGGATGGCATCAAAGCTGCGCGTCTTGAATCCGTTTTCTGCTTGGAATCCATTTCCATGGACCGGGTCACTTACCCAAACGACGTGCTTGTCCTCGGCTTGGACGGCCTTAATGATAGCGGGAAGCTTCGTTCGGATTCCCTCGGCGGTCATTCTCGTGATGAGCGTCACCCGTCCCGGAATATTGTCTGGGTTGAAGGTGTTCAAGATCTCAAGGACGTCTTCGGGACTGGCCTTGTCGCTGATTTTGACTCCCAAGGGATTCTCCAATCCACGCACGAACTCAAAGTGAGCAAATCCGGGTTGTCTTGTTCGCTCGCCGACCCAGAGCAAGTGCGCCGATGTATCGTAGTATTTTCCAGAGGTCGAATCGATGCGGGTCATGGCTTCTTCGTAGGGAAGCAACAAGCATTCGTGGGCAGTGAAAAAATCGACCTGTTGCATGGCAGGCGATTCCAGATCGACTCCGATGGCGTTCATGAATCGCAGCGATTCTTCGACCACGGAGGCGAGTTTTCGGTACTTGGATCCGACCGGTGTTGCCTCGACGAAATCAAGAGTCCAGGCGTGGAGGCGGGACAAGTTGGCGTATCCCCCGCTCGAAAAGGCACGCAGGATGTTCAGGGTTTGGGAACACTGATCGTAGGCTTCGACCATTCGCTTGGGGTCCGCTTGTCTGGCTTCTGCCGTGAAGGGGTGCTCCCGGTTGATGTTGTCTCCCTGGTAAGATGGCAAGGTGACACCGTCGATGGTTTCGGTGGGGCTGGATCGGGGCTTCGCGAACTGTCCAGCCATGCGTCCGATCTTGACGACGGGTTTGGATCCACCGTGAGTCAAAATCAGGGCCATCTGGAGGATGATTCGGAAGGTATCCCGGACGTGGTCAACCGAGAACTCGTCGAAGGATTCGGCGCAGTCACCGCCAAAGAGAACGAACGACTTTCCTTGTGAGGCAAGTGCCAACTGATCCGACAGGTTTCGAACCTCTCCGGCGAAGACGAGCGGAGCACATTTCGAGAGTTGGTCCTCGACGGCTTTGAGTGCGTCTTGGTCGGGGTATTCGGGAATTTGTTTCGATTCCTTGGTGCGCCACGAGGAGGGCGACCACTTGCCGTATTCGACGGCGCTTCCAGCGGGGCTGGAAACCTTAGGAGGTTCGCGCAAGACCATACCGGTAGCAGGGTTCATCGAGGCGATCGCCCCAACAAGGATTGRAAGTAGCAGTTGCCGTGTCATTTTGTTGTGATAATATAGTATGGTGCTCTTTCACTAGCAAAGTGTGTTGGCGCTGCTGTGKTGCGTTATTGCCYAATAGTAGCAAGGTGTGGGAATGGAACGCAGGTTTCAGAAAGCTATCCCAGCCTTTCCTTTCTCTCTCTTCGTTTAGAACCTCAAGATCGTCAAGACTCCGGAGAAAGCGTCTCTGATGCAAGAGGAAGAATCCTTTTTTYCCCAAAATTTAGCAACCGATGGATTGTGCAACTGCACGCTACGCCGTACGAACCGTTATCGCTCAAGCCGCCGGTCGCGTTGCGGCGCCCTCATTCGCTGATTGCAACCACCTGTTTGCGTGCATACCTGTGCGTTCGCACGTGGGTTTCACGTGGTATGTACGATGGGGGTACGTACGAGTACGCAAGTAGCTTAGTTAACGTCTGGGTGAGAGGAGAGGGAAAAGCACCACAAAGTTAGGGTTCTTCCGACGGACGAATGTCGGACCGTGGTGCGGCGAATTTAGAGAAATAGATTTTGTTTTTGTTAGAAGAGATTTGACTACCGTACGTATTAACGTACGTAAAGTAGTAGAAGTACTATTTAGTGTTTATCAAAACTGCGAGGACGAGCACGGTACTCATGTGTATGTGTACGGACGTTAGTTCTACTTGTACTTCGTACGGTAGGAAAGTACAGTTCGGTACGTACGAGTACTTGTCCTGTAATTTAATGCGTACGATCCCGTACGGTACTGCTTAAGTATCAGTATTAGTACATTGTATTACAGTAGTAGGTAAAACATAAAATATCTKATGGCTACTACTTTCCAGCAATACAGTGTACGCAAGTCCCAAAAAGGTTGCGGCAGGTGGTTTTTCACTAACAGTTGTTGTTGTTTTGTTGCTATTGTTGTTGCTGCTGTTGCAAAAGCAGATTGCATGTAAATACTAGATGAATAAACCAAGGCATGATGGCATTCAGCATGCAATATAAAAATGACGTCTTCTATTCTAGTCGGGACCTGATGGAATTTCATTTACATCAAACCAAAGAGTCTTTCTTTCAGAGCAATCGCTTACTCTTTGTCAAACATTCATAGCAATTCAAATGAACCGTAGGCATTCCTTGCTTCGAAAATGGAATGATTGTCAGTCTGTTTTGTCTGAACCATTCTTCTCTCGAACACTATCGAGAAGTTTTGTTAGCTCTCGAACCAATCCATTCGCGTTGATGCGTCTATTGGGATCGACCCAATAACAATCCCTGATGATTCGACCAAATGCAAGATCATCGGCGTCTTGGTTTTTGGTAGCTGCAACTGTGCCTCGTGTTCCTGGTTTGTCCGAGGAACCCCAATTTTCTATTTTTTTCAATTCGATAGGTAACTCTCCATCCTTAACCATGTTTTTGATTCGCTGTCCCCCTACCACATCCTGCCAAGGACGCTGCCCCCCGGTCCAAATCTCGTACAGCACATGTCCCAACGAAAACACGTCCATCTGAGTTGTCAACTCTCTGTCGGAGTATTCTTCCGGCGACCGGTAGGTACCCGGCGATGAGCTTATTCGAATCGTGCACTTCTTGGCACCCTCGTGCAAAACCCTTCCTTCGGAACCATCGGAGACGAGATCCGTGGCTGTACTGTTRTTTCGTTGTTGCGGAACGAAACGGCAACGGTTGAAGTCGTTGATCTTGATCCGAATACCATAGTCGTTGCCGCCGTCATAATCGCCTTCGATTGGATTGCTCGCCCCTGTGGTCCCGATCACCAAAAATTGGTTTGCAGTGATATCCGCATGAATAACATCCGATTGATGCAATTCGGCGACGGCTTTGGATGCTTGTAAAGCCAATTCAAGCCGTGTAACGAGCGGCAATTTGGAGGATGATAGTAGTGAGTCTTTCTGCGACCCTGATGACGGAAGAGATTGCGACACATCCCTGTCGTGTTTGCGGTGGTTCCCATGTCCGTGAGTTTTGCGATGTTCCGTGGTATTGTTGTTGCTTCTAACGTGTTCCGACTCCCTAAACTCTTGTGCGCGTCGCTCTCGGTTTGCCTCCTTGATCCTTTTAATTTGTTGGTTGCGGCTATCGTGGTCATCGTGTTTCTCACTCGGATTCAATGCGTACCTCAGGTCCTGGGAGGCAAACTCGGTCAAGATCGAGTTTCCGCAGTACGCGTATAGGTCGGCAACGTAGGGACTGCTCGTCAAGCGATTCATGGTCGCGGCTTCGCGACGGTGCCTCTCCAGGTTTCGATCAATCACGTCGTGTTCGAGTTTCATCGTTTTCAGTACAACGTAGCTCGTATTGTTGGTGGTGTTGGGGTTGCCGTCTGGAATTTTCCAGACGTCCCGCCACAATCCATTTCCCAAGTGAGCAGACGGCGACAGATGGCGTCGCCTTCCACTACTTTTGGTGGACAAGGCCTCCGAAATATCTAATTCGTGCAGCAATTGGCAGGACAACAACCTTGAGTTGGAGTTAGGAGTTTGCCACTCTGGATCGAGTTCGCAGCCCGGCTTCAGCTTTTCTTTGTCTTTGTGTTGCTTTGGTAGAGGTCGGTGAGGGCGCGGTGGACCCTTTTTCCTATCATCGTTGCGAATTGGCCGGTGGAGATTGTCAAAGCCGATGTTATGGCGGTAATGGTGAGTGCCTTGACTATTGTGGATGTTGTCGGTATCGATTTGCTGCAGCGACAATTGCTGAGCGTATTCAGTTGTAGTGATTTGAACGCCGAACCAAACAAACAACGACACTGCCAAAAGCCGGCTGGACCAATGAAAGGATGTCCCGGTAGTTCCTCCACGACCTCTTTTTCTTCTCCTAGTCTTGGAGGAAGACGCGTCACTCGAGGAATTATAGCCGCCGTCGTGTTCATATTCATATTCATGTTTGTATTCGTCGCCATGCTCCTTGAGCCGCATCACACCATTTGCTCTCCGGTGTCTCATTGACGAAGACAACCGAGAGAAGACGCTACCATCTCCCTCTCTTGTCGCTCGGTGCATAGGCGAAACCGACGATGATCTTTCGGAAAAATACGACTCCTCGTCCGATGAAGAGTAATCACTCGATGAAGAGCAATATTCGTCATCGCTGCTTTCCTTCTTCTTCGCGTCGCGAAACGAATCCATTGTAACCGAGAAGAAAAAGTCGGTGCGACGGGACTTGGTCGACTTTCATACCTTTCTTAAACCAAACTATGAGAAGTACGGTATTGTTCTCAGTCACAATGGTTGTTTACGATGAGCTATTGCAAACACTTCAAATGGACTGTCGTTGATTTGTTACAAGAAGTAGTTATTGCTAATCCTGTACTAACGGCCGGTAGGAACGACGTACTTTCTCGAAGTTTCATGCCGTCTATGCTTTGTTCGATTCCCCCCATAGTACCGTACTTATTCCCCCTCTAAATTCAAAATTTGAAAGTGGCGCGTTTGGCACGAGGTCGAGAACTAGTACTCGTACCAGGTACTCGTACTAAAAAATATGTTATGTACTAGTACTTGTAGTCGTCCTCGTACTTGTACCGGTACTAGTATGAATGCTAGTGACGAGCGGATGTTGTTCGGTAGTTGTAAGTGGCAACAACAGTAACCGTCCTTGATAACTCACATCTAGCCGATGGCATCAGAGAAAACTAAAGTCCGAACGATAAACTTTACACTGTAAATTATAGTGAAGTAGCTCGAAATGGACTTGTTTTTGGTATAGATGATGAGTTCCTCGGAAAGAGGCTCGTTTCTATTTCGTCAGAACTTTAATTTAAAGTAACGTGCCGTAGATTGATCCGCTTCAATCGTCTAACTATGAGAGCCCAAATCTTGCTTGTAGCCCATCCCATAACGATACTAGTACCAGAAGAGAGATACCGGATCTCGATCGAGCAATAATTTGTAACTTGCCCACAAACACGCGATGGGAAAAAAGAACCAGATTCCGTTCGCAAAACCGACAAATCCAAGTACTTCCACCAATGGCTTGTACTGGTATCGTTTGTTCCACAAGAAACTCAAAAAGTATATGATTGTACCGTATAAGACCTGCCAATACGAGCAAGCGCCAATAAATCCAAGAAGAACGACTGCCGTTCCATCGGTGTTACTCCGTGCAAAATAATGGGGAAACAAAATTGCAAAATTCCACGTCCAGCATGGCACTATCGTCGACCAACCATTTCCAACGTCAATGAAAAATCCGAAGCTCTCTGGATTGGAATAGGATGGATCCCACAAACTGTATGTCGACCACATCTGGGACCATTTTTGCCCCCCGTCGTATAGGTCTCGAAGCGACAAGGGCATGTTCAGGTAGGCAAATCCCGCAAGATATTCTGCTTTCTTGGGTTTTCCTGTTTTCGCGTCGCGATATTCCTTCAGCAGTTTTTGGTAATGGTTCTGGATGAATGCAATGTGATTTCCTAATGCAATCTCGCAAAAGGCGATCAATACATTCAGGTTGTTGAAAAACATTATCGACCACCCAAGAATGGTGATGGGTGGAAGAAGAGGGGATTTTCCGGACTCCGTTCTGTAATATGAATTCTGAATCAAAGCCGGAACGAGCACCGTCGTAATTCCAAGCCAAACTGCGAAGGCCGTTGTAATCGTCAGCCCCGGGATGGGTCTTTCGGTCCAAGACATCGGACTCTTTTGATATGCCGAGGATACAGTCATGATGATTGTCTAAGCTCTTTCTTGGTTCGATTCTAGTACTAGATTCACTCAGTCTCCAATGTTCTATGATGTACCAAGGTATGGATATGGTATTTCGTTGCGTTTTTTCCTTTGATGAAATCAAAGTATTTTGAACACATTCATCCAATGCCCCACAGTGGCATCTTTTGAGATCTCTCGTGAATTCGAAGAAAAGCAAATCTCTTTCCATCATTGGAAGATTTTCTTAGCATACCGTACATACCGTACCACGGTATAGTACGTATCCTCTGGTTTTCTGGTGCGTTTTGGTTTTTTGAACTATGTACGTACTACTAGTTATTTCGAAGTAAAATGCGTTAACAGTAAAATCCTACCAGGGCCTACAGACCTCAATGTCATTCTACTCCAACAGAAAAAATTAGGTCTTTTGCGGTGCGCAGCCAGGGGAAGTTGAAAGTTGGGTGTACTGTAGGTACCGTACTGTACGTTTGTCATTTGTTCAATCTTTCATAGTACTAGCATATCAGGAAACTCGTCTCGTGCCACCAACATCTCATTTCCGTAA